TGCTTCCCTGGCGGGGGAGAAGGGTCCGGGGCGCGTGCTGCAAAAGCGGCCCCCACGTGCCACACACCTGCCCAGCGCTAGTCTCGGCCCGCTCATGCTCTGCAGTCGAGCTGAGACGAGGGCCAAAGAGAGCGCAGCACGTGGGCAGCAGGATCGAGCTGTGGTTCGGGCAACTGCTCTTTACTGAGATTCCCTGAGGGATCTGGTACGAAGGAGCGATGGAAAACCTGTCTCAGCACTGGCGGGAGGGGCAGATTAGAGGCAGCCGTTTTGTAGTGTAGATAATAGAAGGAAGACATATGCATATATATATATATATATTTTTTTTTTTTCAGTGTGGTGGTTCCCAGACAGTAGGACCCAGGAAGCACAGCCGACCCTCACACGTTCGTGTAGACCGTGCCACTTTCCCACCACATAGCCACAGCACCGGCAAGTTTGTCAGGTGAACTGTCAAATGCGGTCCCATGGCCCAGCTGCCACTATTCGTGTTCACCTCCAGGGACAATATTTTGGGAACAGCTGTTTTGTGGCATACTTATATGCACACACACACTCCAAGCAAGAATTAAGCCCTCTCTATGCACAGAAATTGCTCAACTTATCTCTGAAATGCAGTTACCTCTACGGTGTAATGCTGCAGCTGTTTAACTACATAATAGGCTGTTCAGGACAGCAAGTATAAAACTGAAATTGAAATGGAAACTTGCCCGAAAGAGAATTTGGCCAGAATATTTAGGCTGATTCAGCTCCTCTTAATGAAATAAAATTCTAATGGCTGCAAGAGGCCATGCATTCATTATATCTAAAAAGCATATTCCAGAACCCTTCTTATTAACTCTGCATTGCACTTCATAAATGATGATCGCAGGGAAAGACTGCATGTCCACAGTTCCACCTTTCTACACGAGGGTGTTTCTCCCACTACCGTTCATTGCTAAAACAGAATCGGGCTTTTGAAGTCAGACTCCTAGGTAATGTAGATCAGTATGTCTATACAGAAGTTAACTGGGCGAACAGCTGGCAATGTAGATCTCTCTTTCATTAGGGCCAAATAGCTATTTTTTAAGTTGGTTTTGTTGGAGAGGATTCTTTACTTTTTAAATTAAAAAAAAAACACCAATATTTTCACTAAGCATGAAATGAGTGGGAGGTTTATTTAAAGACATGGTCATTATCACCAACACAGCATGTTAGTGAGAATCTTTCCTTATTCTTCTTCCATTTAACACATCAGCATTCCCATTCTTAAAGCTGACCTGTCATAAAAAAATCACATTTGCGAGATGAATTATTGTAGAGCTTTGGGCTAAGTTCTGATCTCAGTTATATTAAATCAGCCCCTGAGAAACTTCACTGAAGTCAGAGTGAAATGTCAGATGTGGACCAATATAATTCAGATCAATGTTTGAGTCAGCAAGTCCCGCTGAGGTAGAAAGGACTTACTGTGAGAATTAGCCAGTGCATAATTGCTCTGTAGGATATATTGCTTCCTTTCAAGTCGGTCACAGTCAAATAGAGTGTTTTTGGTAGGTTCAAGTCTCTGACTACAGTCTTCACAAACAATTGTTAGCTTTATTTATAATTACCTGTGGAATCCACATGCTCATATCCATGCTTTGTTTTACGTTATGGAGGTTTAATAGGATGGCCATCTCATTTTAAAAGGGCTCAGCATGTATGCATTCTGTAGTCAATTTTCCGAATTAACAAATTTTCCCTTTCAAGTAGTCTGACTTATACTACTCTAGAACTGTTCTTTCCTGAAGAAAAGCCACTATGACTGTGCAGGATTTTCTGTGCAGAGACAAAACTCATACTTTCATTTACCATTTGACACGCCAAAATATTCAAGTGTGGCCTAAGGACTAAATTAAATGCCTCCTATAGAATTTCAAGGAATGTTAGAACCAGGAAATTAGCTGTTTAGTTATCATTAAAAATATATATAAATATATATAAATATATATATAAAGAAGAAATCATATCAACAATGAGGATGAACTGAGTGCCAAATATTCACCATCTGTACAAAGCTACACTTCACTAGAATTAAACTATTTTATGTAATTCTCTTTCTCATGCTTTTATGGTTCTTTTGATAAATTCTATTTAGTAGCATGCAGGATACCTAAATTGAATGTACAGTATGTTGTTTCATTGCTACAATAATTTCTCGCTTCTCAGTAATATCTTCTTTACCAGAATGTTATTCGTTACTTTGAAGACATATTTGAGAATTGTTTCATTCCTGAGTTATTCTTTTTCCATGGTTCTCTGCTCACCTCCAGCTGATTGTAAGAAAATGTGCTTCACTATTTTGCCCCATGGCTCTTTTATGAAGCTGCCTCTTTCAATTGGTTTATGTATTGTTTATGTTCATATCCTGTAAATAACTCTGCAATTAAATTTTTTGAGAAAAATAGAGTATACTCTTTATTACATTTTAAATTTTGCATTAGTTAAAATATGCCCTTTCCAATCAGACAATTTGTAGACCACGGTAAATTATTACCTTAGACATGTAACCTTTTGAGTATTTGTAAATGTATTATCAATAAAATATTTTTGATTGGGTTTTATCTGAATTCAAAGGAAGACACATTTAATATCTGAAAGAACCTAGCAAATAACAGAATCGGCTATGCAATGATAACAATGTATTTTGATTGATATTCATACTATAGATATAGACTATCATGCACTGATTCTGAATCAATTCATTGTGCTTCATTAACAGAAAGTATAAGAGCCTCTTTTGTGTGTAAAACACAACTGATATTAAATTATCTGTAAGTAATTGTTATTAGGTAGAAGTAACTGGAAGACCAGTTTGGAAAGGTGAATCGTGGAGGGTCTCTGTATGTGGTTTTTGCCATTTGCAGCTGAATAGCCGAAAAGAAATTTTGGGCCACTTTGTGTTTTTCAGCTTCTACTTGGGCAGACAAGTTTCCTTCAGGGAATGGCTTGAGCATCTCAGCAGAAAATTCTATCAATACTTTGCATTGGCCACAATTCTTGATATGCCAGAAGCCCCAGTATGAGTGAAAGGAAGATATGTGTGGTCTCTGAGTCTAATTAAAGGAGGTACAAGAAATACTATGACAAGTATTTATTTTGGGAAGAAATGTGCTTAGTTGCTTGAACATTTGGATTTTTATTGCTGATTTACTGTATTCACTATCATAACACTTAGGATCCCCAGCTATGGATCAGGACAACATTTTAAAAGGCATTGTACAATTACAGAATAAAAGGATTTCCCTTATCACAAAGAGTTTGCAACCTAAACATCAGGTGAGAGACAACAGATGGGCAGATATATGAGAGAAGTTGAGGGAAACAGTGAGACACTATTCATCAAAATGAAGAGTGGTGGTTGCAGCATTCCAGCAGCCTATCAGTTGTCAATTGTTTCATAAGCATGAGAAAGAAAGAGGATAATTAAGTGGATTGGAAGATACCCTCGGGGATGTCTTCCCAAGAAAGAGGGGAGCCCAAGAAGGATTTTGTTTGAAAATTTAATATGGAGATGATGTAACTTGGCATCATGACTCAACTGGAAGTGGAAAATGACATCTCAGCAATTAATGGAATGATGCTAGGTAAACTGTGGATAGGTGGTATATGAATAGAGGGTGAAAGGTCCTGGCAGTAAAGACGAATAAAATTAAAAATTCAGTATTCTGCTGGCTTATTGTTTGTAGGAAAGGATTTTCTTCTTTAATATCTGTTGTGAAAGGCTCACAATTTCCCTGCTGTATGTCAGCAGTTCTAAGGAAAATGAAATTTAAAGAGAGCTTTTTAGAACAGTTTAGCTCTTCTTTTTGTCTGTCTCCTAATAGCAGCTATTGTGACCTAGAGCATAATTCATAGCAGTCCTATACTGATATTTTACAGCTAAGAAAAGCCTGGATCACTTCTAGTTGAAATTTCAGTGACCTTTTATCTTGTCTTAACCTATATGAGTTCCCTAAAAAAGCCTGATCCTCTCTGGAATCTGGAAAGGATCACACAACTAACAAGCAAGCTATTTCTTGCACAATAGAGATGATTGCATGTCAATCTCTGCATTACAGGCATACCCATATAAATGAGGAGAGTCACTGCTGATGAACTAGTAAGGTCAGTAAAGCTAGAGCATAGCAGGGCATATTTTTGTTTCATTTGCTGAAACAAATAATCAGGTGCAGAATACATGTTCTGGTATTAGCATATTTATTCCAGTTGAACTGCATTGACACTGGCACTGGGTTTGTGGAAAGCTGTTATTGT